ATGTACATTCATTTATTTGTTTGTGATCAGTCTTCACTCAAACATGAATTTGGGACTCATAGAAGTTAGGACTGCAGGTGTGGATATTGACTTGCAACCTTACCATCATCAATCATATGCTTGAAGGAATGTCCACAATGTTGTAAGGTATATGAACCTCCAAGTTGTGTAGCTACCACTGGGGCTAGGAGTTGAAATGTAGGATGCCATCATGGTAGGGCCCAATTGCCGGACAGTTCTGGCATCAAACAGCGGTGTTTCTTCGGTTGTCGCAGCCAAAGGGCAAGCTGAGAAACCAATACAATACAGTAGAATATCAATACGGACAGTATATAAACCATTGTAAACCCAGCATTTGGGGATGGTTTATCCTACCAGATCCAGAATTTATGGCAGTAGTGGGAATGTGCTGTTTTACTATAATCATGATTTTCTATGATTGGGTTTTCCACATGAACATGGAGATAGGATGTCAAGGACTTCTCCTTGCCCGAGGCCCGCACACGTCTGCACTGAACCAAACTCAGCCGTCCGAACTGGTGCCACCTCGGAGCCAAACAGCATAGCCGCAGCCAGGAGCGGAGGCCGCCCAGGGCAAACTTCAAGAGATCTCAATGATTTTTGGTTAAGTTAAACAAAGAGCCAACCAAACTATACCAAATCACTGTTTTCTGAGTTTGGCACCGTCACTGGCTCCATGGGTGGCATCGGGGGTTGGGCTCTGCGCCCATCCAAGGTACGCAGCTGAGCGAACTCATTGGCATCGAGCACCCCATCGTGGTTGGCATCCAGCACATCGAACAAGGCTTGCGCCCGAGCCATAGGTTGGGATGCCACAGATGCAGCCGGCATCACCGGTCCTGTGGTTACTGTCACCGGGCTGGTCACAATGGGTGCAGCCACCGTGACTGGCGGCATAGTCACCGGGGTGCTGGTGACGTAGGTCTGCGGGCGGTACGTGTATGCTGGCACCGGCGTCAGTGCTGGTGCCAGGTTGGTCCTGGCCGGCACCGCCACTGGAGCGGCGCTCATCGAGGAAACGCTGACGGCGGCGGAGGACAGACGGCTATGGGTGGCTGGTGCTGGGGGCGCTGGGGCTGGCGCGGGTGCCTCTGGGAGCAGCGGCACGGCCTCGGGTTGGGCACGGCTGCGCTCGGAACGGCTGGGCAGCGGCACACGCGGGCCCTTCTTGGGGATGGAGGTGACCGGCGACGGTGGGGCCATCTCCAAGAGCTCCTGAAAAAGATTGCTCGCAATCGCCCAGTGTTTCCTTGCTCTTTGATTGAAAAGGTTCAGGCTCCAGTAACCTACTTGCGGGGTAAGACATGAAACCTTACTTGTTCTTACCTACATGTTCTATTTTCAATGTGGTTGAATAGCTCCAGAAACGTTGTTTGCTCCAATTTTCTTGGTGGGATCCACCCCCGGTCCGTCCACCCCGATCATCCAGTCCTCCGAAGACTCCTCATCATCCGGCACTTCCACATCGCCGCTGCGGGCCACACGCTTGCTCCCTTTCATCGACCTGCCGAAAGGTCCAGAGATCACAGAGTGGGGCCAGTGGGGGTGAAAGGTACCACGGGCAATATGGAGTTCTTATGGGTTTATATTTAATCGATTACCAAGTTTTGGAGTGCTTTCTGTCTTTGCTAATCCCCTTTGTAATATCTGGGATCCATCATTTATTGCACCTGGGTCCCACTTGTGTTTCGTTAGGGGTGGTAATGAGCTGGGAATTGTGCCCAGCACCGTAATTGATCTACAAAAATTAGGTATTGCTACGCCGACAACCCCTCAGTCGGCTGCTCCGAACCCATTGTTGAGACTCATGGCTGGAACATTCACACCAGGCTTGCGAATCCTGCCAGGTCACTGTGTGCAACAAATGAAGGCTGCGACGGCCATTGCGACGGCCACCCCAAGCAAGACCCACAGCAGAGTGTGGTCATGATGCTCATGGTCATGAGCGTGGAAGTCCTGAGGCAGGCGATTTGCAAGGATCATGTCTCACTCTACATGGCTCCAGTCGGGCAAGGTCTATCACCATGCATCCCCAACATTTGGCGGCTTAACTGGGGCACCTATCCTGGATATTCCTGGGTAAAACAGCTATGCCATGCAGTATGGCCGAAGGCTGCCTGGTGAAAGACCCACGATTGCGGCTAAAATCCAGATGTGTGTTTGTGAAACTGTTATTCTACCAAAATCAGCCTCTTAGGTGAAAGTGTTTCACAGTGTTTCACAATATTTCTGGCGTCAAAATAGGTAGCCTTTGGTGGATTGATGTGGATTGATCAATGGTTCAATCCACCAAGCGTCTGTCACACTGGTCGCATTCGTGTCTTTGGCCACCGCGGTGGCATCTTTGGCACTGCCGCGTGCCTCTGAAAAGGGCCACCGGGGAACTCGCCGTGAAGGGCCAGTTCCATCATGTCCTATGGAAAAATCCTGGAAAACAAAAACACATAGGAAAACCATGGGAAATCCATTTCTTTGGTTGGGGTTTCATGACAGGCTGAGACTTTGTGCAGTCTGATTGTCCACTTCTATGACCCGTCACCGCCTTGATTGGTCCAATCATAACTTCTTCGGTGGTGGTTGTGGTGCTGGCGGTGGTCGTTGTGGGCACTTTGTCTGTCCTGACCAATGTCTGGGCGCAATTGGGGCTCCCATGCAGGTCAACACTCAAGGGATTCTAGACCCAACACCCACAGATTCCACAGATTCTTGGTTACTCTCCGGTAATGAAACATGGCAATTGTCAATCCCCAAACTAAATGGATGTTTTTCATAAGAAAATCAACTATGAATGGCAGAGCTGAGAGTTGAACATTCCGACGGGGAAATCATCCTGACTCAACCTATGTTTAATGGCCTCATGCAAAATCCCATGTTTTGGGGCAAAACAAATGGGGCAAAACGAACATGTGGTATTGTTTTGAATGATATAATATGGTTATATGGTAAACTTGGTAAACCTCATAATGAACCTCCAACCCAACCCATTTCTAGTAAGTCACGGGACGATTATTGCTTTGGCCTTGCCACATTGGCCGTAGGTTATATCCCCAGTTACTACCTGCGACAAGCCTATGAATTGCAGGCAGATTACCGTTCATCATTGAATTTTACCACATCAATTCCAAGATGCTCCATCTTTTCATGGTTCTAAATGGATTTTTCTGAGGATTTTCTACTCCATTCACTGGTTGATCATCATTGTCCCCATTAGAATTTGGGAGTTCATCCCCCGTTTTCGGACACGCCAAGTCATCTTGGTTTAGAAATCTCATTATGTCACAATCATATATATCTGCCATCCCTCTAATTAATATAGACCCTGCCAAATAAAGTGCTGGAGGACTACATTCCTCTAAAACGCGGTGGTTCTCAGGGTCGCTGATGAATCTTCGAATGTTTAGATGTTCTCCCCCACCAACACCAAGCTCCTCTGTGAACTGTGTGTGTGTGTGTGTCTTTCCATGTTTTTTCCCATGTTTGTTCATGATTTTCCCATATGTTTCCGATGTTTCTCCATGATTTTCCCATTTTTCCAAGTTTCGCCTTTTTTCCAATTGTGTCCCACCTTTTTCCCATGTTTTTCCCGGGTTTTCTCCGCCTTTTTTCCATGTTTTTCCATGGGTTTTGGTCGTTTTCGCCCCGCACCCGGGTTCCCGGACATCCAGTTCTGCGCCGTGAAGGCGCCCGAGGTCGCGGCCTTCTCGGCGGCTTCGGTGCCCAGGCGGGCGGCCTGGGCATTTTCTATGGATGTTTTCATGGCCTTTTTGGTTGATTTACCATGGTTGATAAAAACATCCATATGAAAAAAGGCTAAATATTTACCATGGTTGATTAACATGAATGAGATTTATCCTTTGGTGATTTAACAGTTTGCCATGGAAAATCGCCATTCTTAGTAGGTAGATATAGGTAAATCATCCATAGATGGACCATTTTCCATAGCTATGTTAAAGAACCAAAGGGCACCTCTAAAAAATTGTGATGTTCCATAGCAAACTGCTAGTTGACCGGAGGGTAACCCATGAAAAAAGTTATCTTTCATGGGTATTTAATGGAGATCTTTGCCGTGGCATCATGATATGATAATGATATGATAAAATTTGAAGATCCTACTATGATCTGTGGAGATACCCATAATATGATCTATTGTGGGATGTAATGCCTATTAACCAATGGGCAAAAGCTAAATATACACATATATATATATATTTATTTATATACATACACATTATATATATATGTACACATTATATATGTATATGCGCATTATATATATATATGTGTGTACGTATGTATAATGCCTATATATAATTCATAGTATAATATGATATGACGGAAAATGATTGTGGATGTGGGAAAGCCAATGCGATAAACCTACCATCCTACCATTTGGAACCAATTCGGGGGATGGCTTAAACCATTGATGGCGATTCTGGGGATGGTATATTATTGGGTTTGCCACATTAATGAGTATTTAACCAATGAACTGATGAATAGTTGGAAGATAATGGATATGATATTAACCTTTAAATTTTGGGAGATCTGGAGATATAACTTAACCATCAACAAAGGGATTTGGCCAATGAATAATGATGAATAAATGATCTATATTGGATAATGTGTCCATATATTTCACTAGAATTCGGTAACCAAATTTCCAGCCTATTATTAAATACTCTCCGGCAATTTAACAGCTTAAAAAAATTGCCCATTTAGTTTGATTATTTACCTGTAAAAACTGGTTGTGGATATTAATGGTTGTTCAACCATCAACCATAGGGATTTAACCAAAGAATAATGATATTGCACATCGATGCGGATAAGATCTGCAGTTATGGATATGGATATGGATTTGGGTACAAATGATCTATCAATCTAGGAACACATATATAGTTGATAGGCATCTTTTCACCAATTAGATATACGAATTCGGCTTTGGGGAATTGCTTATTTACAACATATTTGAATCTCAACTATAGCAAAAGATATACGTGTGTAGATCTGTAGGTGTGTGTGTGTGCGTGTGTGTGTGTGTGCGTGTGCGCGTCACAATAGATTGAGGTGTAGGCGCAGGTGCTCATAGACATGTATAGGTATTATACATGAAATACATGTAACATCTATTTAAATATTATATATATATATGTGTGTGTGTATTGATATGTGCGTATCTACAAACGGGCGACCTCGGCAGCTGAAAGGCCCGCTTTGATGCCAGCTAGCCTTGGCAAATGCCAGGTAATCAGGTAATCAGACATGGCTGGTGAAATTTCTGATCGGGTATTTAAATAGGACAGGAAAATCATATACCAATGCATTTCTTTCAGGTTTGTGCATTGGTTATCGGAGGATAACATTTTTTTTCCAGCCAATCATACGCTTTGTCTCCACAATCCTATCATGGGGGCGGTCATCCATGATGATGATGATCTCATTTTCTGCATGGTTTTCAAGACATGGATTTGGTATGGTTTGCCAAATTTCCTTGGTTCCATCCATCCCCATCCGTTGCTTCAAGGCTTCTGCTCTCCATTCTCTGCTTTTTCTCCCGCTGCAAATCTCAGACAAAAAGATCCTAAACCAAAAGAAAAAGGATCATATAGTTGTCGTGTATATACATGACATGTGTATATATATATATTAATTTTTCTATTGATCTATTCATTATTCATTCAATTCCCACCACCATGTCCCGGCCGTAAACACACCATGGCCATGGCACGTGGCGGCCTTCCTGGAGGCTTCTTCGGCCCCCACAGGGTCCATGCCGCCGTTGGTCGCGGCGCGCCCCGCCGCCACCGCGGCCGCCTCCAGCTGCCGCTGCGCCGATTGGCCGTCCGCCTTGCTGAGGCGTGCGGCGGCAGCACCGGCTTCGGCGGCGTCACGCTGGGCCGGGGTCTCCTCGTGGAGAAAACGCGGAGAACGGCAATCCCCAAAGATACCAAAAAAAAAAACCTTGGAAGTTTGGAAATTGAAAATCCTTAACCAAATTTTGGGTAAATATGCGCAAATGATTTTTCTGAATTTTTTTGGGGTTACAATACAGGTAGAAAGGTTAGACAAAGATAAAATGGTTGGATGGATGGACAGGATATATCTGATAATACAAGAGGAGGCAAGATGGAAAGGGGGAAGGCTAGACAATGCTAGACATATAAGTCATATAAGACCAGATAGAATACAGAGATGGATAGATATGGATGTAGATATTGATATTGATTTAAATCCGGCATAGATATAGATAGAGCGGATACAAATATTATGTGCCGGAATTGTCTAGATATAGCTAGCTGTATTAAGGATAATTATATATATATATAAGGCATGGATTCCGAGCATGCACGTTGGGTTGTTTCTGCGCCGCCATCTCCAAGAACATGAGCACCACTAACTCCCACAAAACATACACGCGAAGACGAGAAGAAGGGAAAGCTTGTGGAAACTGCTTTCCCACTCTCTGAAGACCCTGTCCTCCAGCGGAGGATAGCCATTGTTGTTGCCAGCCACCACCTTACCCGTGGCCGATGGCGCAATGGTCACCACCAAGTCTGGATCCATCTCCTCAGTGGCCCCGCCGCTCACTGCATTCGCCACGGCATCAGCTATCTTTTCTGCTTCCTCAGGGGACATGCCTGCAGCCGTTGCGGCATCCTTGCTGGCCTTGTGAGCTGCAGCAATTTGCTCCTCGGAAGAAAGGTGCTCGGCAGCAGCTTGATCGAAAGCTGCACGACCTGCTTGCTCAGCCTGCTTGTAGGGCGATCCCTTGGAGTGATCAGAGCTGGAAGTAGCTGCGCTTCCAGCTGTATTCCCAGCCGCTGCAGCTGGCACCGTCTGCTTGGCAAGCTTCTCCAGCGCTTCCGCTCCCAGCCCGGTATCCTCGGCCGTGCGGCGCAGCGCCTCCTGGACGCTCTTCAGCTTCTCTTCAGGTGCCAACCCAGCGGAGGCCGCCAGGGCTGAGGTGGCGATGAGTGAGGCCAGCTGCACCCCACCAACGCCGCTGCCCTTGCCGGCCTTGGCAGCTGCGATCCCCGCAGCCGTGGCGGCCAGGGCACTGCCCTCCTCTGGTGCCTTGCCATCTGCATGGGCAGCGCGCTGTGCTCCGGCAGCGGCCACTTTGGCAGCCTCTTGGGGTGACAGCGGGGCCTGGGAAGCATAGGTGCCAATGGCACTTGCAGCGGCCTCCAAGGAGGTTCAAGGTGGATGTTGGGAGCGCAAAACTGAAGCAAAGAGAGGAAGAAGCCTAAAGATTTTAAAGACCTCGAACATAAAAATTCGAGAACCCTTTCAACGTCCCTAACACATCCAGTTGCACTCTCGCAAATCATTTATCTGCAGGCCCCTTGCCTCCATCTGTTCCTCCAGGCTCATGCCTGCAGCCGAGGCCGATTCCGCCACGGCCAAGCCAACCTCTGCAGCCCTTTCCTGGGGCGACATGTCATCTTTAGTTGCCTCTGTAGCAGCCAACGCAGCAGCCATCACCGCTAGCTGTTGTTGCTTCTCCTTGCCGGCTTCAGGTGGTTTTCAGGGAAAAGGGAACCCGTGGTTAATGATCCATCTGCGAAGTAACACCCCTGATTGATCGAGGATGATTGTGACCATTAGGCTTCCAAAATAAATTTGCAAACATCTCTCGCTCCCTCTCTCCTTCTCTACATTGCTGGCTACTTGCTTCGTCATTGTCTTGGCTGCCTACGCATCTACGATACACATACAGTATTTAATTACTTCCTCAATGACAAGCCAGCCTGCCGAACTTTGCAGCACACTCTTTGTTAAACACATCATGTTGTACACCATCTAAGTCCAACTATATATTGGCATCTTCAATTCAATACCCACACAACACCCATGTGTGCTTGTCAGCACACATTCAAATCCCAGTCTTGCTGGTTGACTCTAAATCCGCATTTCTTCCTTCTAAAAGAAAATGCTTGCTGTTATTTCCTCATCATGTTCACCGTTCAAATCCCTATGGCTGTTGCTAAAAAATCAAGATATAATATATCACAACTTAACTGCGCCCAGCACATAAATATCTATAATTATATATATATATATTATTATACTAAATTATACATATACAGTATACATCCCCATCCTTCACAAATTTTCATATCGCCACACCTCGGCCCTGGGCCCTCGGCCTGGCTCTGCTGGTTCTTCTTCGCCGCCTCCTGCGCTCCCGCGGCCGCGATCTGCGCCGCGGACTGCGGGGAGAGACCTTCGGCCTTGGCTGCGCGGCCGATGGCCAGGGCTGCCTGCTTCACCTGGCGCTACCAAGTGGAGCCCATCAAAATGGGGTGGTTTAAACTCACCAAGAATGGGATACAACATAGTACGTAATATTATATATAAGGTGTGTAATAGATATATCTGTATATATAGATATATACATACACACATATATGTGTGCGTGTGTGTACGTATATTTGTTTGTAGAGCTAGCCCAGAAAGATTAACATATGGATATGGAGGATCACCCCACGAATCGCAACTGCCGCAGCTGGTGAGCTTTTGTGGGGTTAGTTTCCCTGGCAAAAACGGGATAATCCGGGGAAGCGGTGACTTTATAAACTAGCGCTACTAAGCTACTAACCACTTACTAAGTTGGATGCTCCTCCAAGTGAAGAGGCGCCTGCAGAAAACCACAGGGGCTCAATACTCAGAGCACAATTTCGAATTTGGAAGCATAACTTGATACTTGGTACACCACGATGTAACTACGATATGAGCAAGAATCGTGAGGATAGCATGGGGTATAGCAGGGGACATCATGGGGATATCATCTAAAATAGTGCGAACAACAGTCCCTCAGCGCCCTGGGCACCTGCTCCTCAGGGCTCATTCCCTTCTTGGCTGCCAAGCTTGATGCATCTGCCCCAACAGCTGCCAGCTTCTGAAACAACTGGCTGCTGGTGGAATGGATGGGCACCACACACTCATGATGCCAGGTGGTGAAGGTCAAACTTCCCTTACACTCCCTGGGCGCATCTTCCCCATAATCCTTGCGGCAGCAAGCGTTGCCGTTGCCGCAGAAGGGGCACATGCCACTCTTCTGCCCACATTCCCACCAGCAGTCTTTGCCAATATTCACCAGCGACTGAGACGCCACGGTCGCGGCGACTCCAGCTGCACCGGCGGCTGCGGCTGCAGCGGCTGCAGCAGAACCTGCGGTCTGCTTGACGGGAGCGATGCATTCGTGGTGCCAGGTATAGAAGTGGATTGGCCCCTGGCACTCCTGGCGTCATGGTGGATATGAAAAAATTCTAAAGTTGAAACCCTTCCAAGATATCCCATGAAAGGAGCGTGTTCCGTAAAATTGGTGTGGTTGAATCCAGCCCAGTCGGAGTAATTATATTCTTGAAAGCAGTGGAGCGAAATCCACCCAAACTGGACAGCTTCAGCGAGGAAAACAACGATTTCAAACGTCCCCAAGTTCTACACACACCAAATCTGCGATGTCACTCGAGCCCCAAATAATGTGTCCTTGGGCCCCTCAGTTTCATCATGTCTGCAGCAGGCATTGCCCTCACCGCAATAGTTGCAAAAGCCGGATTTCTGGCCGCATTCGCTCCAGCAGTCCTGAAAATCTGATGGCTGACACATTTGAAGATCACCCAGCGGGGCACTGCACCAAGAGTTATCTTGCGGTTTTCATCTGGAATCTGAAACGGGTAGTATCAACCCGGGTAGTTTTTCAACCCGTTGAAAAATATGATTCAGTCGGGGTCATCCCGAATTCGCTGAGAATAAAACCGGTTTCCCTTTTTTGTCGGTCTCACATCACCTTTTTGTCCGCTAAACCTAAGAGAAAAACACCACTGCCGGTAAATTTGTTAAACATATACCCGTAAAATCCCGTAAAGGCTATCTGCACCCCCTGTTTTGATGCATATACAATAATCGCATTCTACTCCCTGGGGCTCAGCCGTTATCAGTTTGATATAAATGTTTATATAAATATTGTTTGTTGATTCTGCGACAAACAAGTGATTGTCCCGCATTGTACGATAACCCTCCAACAAAAGATCTACAGAAGTAAAAACTTATCCAAAAAAAACATGTATAGATGCTTATAGATGTTTTTTGGTGAAAACCTACAGACCTACATGGCTAGTTCGGGAATTCCCAGCGGCCCACCATGATTACCGCAGGGTAACCCTCGTCCTTCCCAAAGTTCGAAACCATATGAATCCCGCTGGCGGCTGTTGTCATCTCATCACTCTGCCCTCCTTGCTCGGCAGCCTGGCCACAGGCTGAAGGGGATGCCTGATAAGATCCATCCATCCATCCATCCATCCATCCATCCAGCCATCCCTTCCCCCTCATATTTATCATATTTTTTTATTAATTGCCCTTACCAAAAAGAAATGACTTGTGGGTGTCCAATTCATATTGTAGGTTTGGGATGTAGATACCCACCCCTCAAAAATCCTGGTTTAACCTTGGAAATCCATACGTTTGTTAGGGATAGAAGGCGGCTCTACAGTATATCATGTCATGCTCAACGGATGGTTTCATCGAAGATTTTCCACTGCCGCGTGATAGTCCCCAAATGGACGATGTAAATCTGGTTGGTGGCTGAGTCGACGCCAAGGCCAAAGAACCCCTTCAATTCAAGGAATCAACAAATGGCCCTGCCGCCCATTGCTGAAGGCCACCATGTTGTGCCACCGGCGACCGTGCGCCTGCTTCAAGTTGATCACATTGGTCTTGGCTGGCAATGGCAAGGACAGGGGATGCCCGGACTTACAACCTGCAGGGCGGCGGCCTGGAACTCGGGTAACCAAACCACAAGAAGAGCCCTGGTATTCTGGGATGGCCCCTGCACCACACTCCGGCCTGCCATGCTTCGCGTGCTGGGCACTCCCAGTGGGTGAAAAGCATAGCCTCCACCATTCAATACGAAGTCCAAGGGCTCGCCTTGGCACCAGCACCCATTGGCACCCATTGGCACCCATTGGCACCCATTGACACTGCACCAGTGGCTTGGGGAAGATGACCTCTTTAAATCATAGGCACGGCGTTCTAGATTCGTCTCAAATCACCCATGACCATGACTAAAGTTGAAAAGTGCATAGTTTTGGGATGTTTTGGGTGGATTACACTGATTACACCTGCACCCCACTGGTACATTGGCGGCCTCCATCTTATGCCATTCCGAGGGGCATTTGTTGTCATTGTTTGCCGTGCAGGCCTCACCACCGCACCACACGCAGGGCTGCCCTTTTACTCTGAAGCCTGCCACACGTTCGTAGGGTCGACCATCAAAGCCTTAGTGTCGTGGCGAACGACTGGGAGTTGAGACCAAATTTGGGTGGTGGCCAACGTGGCATAAGGTTCAAGGGCATCAAATTCAGCGACACTCTACAACCAGAAACCCATCCTTGCTAAAGATTCCATGAGTGGGGCTGGAGCGCCATTTGACATCAAGAAAAGCTACTGGGAATGCTCCGCAGTAGGGTTGACATTAGCAAAGCGCCCGTGTCATTATCATCATCATCATCATCATCATCATCGTCATCGTCATCATCGTCATCATCGTCATCATCGTCATCATCGTCATCATCGTCATCATCGTCATCATCGTCATCATCGGCATCATCGGCATGATCGGCATGATCGGCATGATCGGCATGATCGGCATCGGCATCGGCATTGGCATCATCATCATCATCGTCGTCGTCGTCATCATCATCATCCTCATCCTCATCCTCATCCTCCTCCTCGTCATCATCGACATCGTCATTGTCATCGTCCTTGTCATCGTCATCGTGATCGTCATGGTCATCGTCATCATCACCATCACTATCACCACTTCTCCTATTGATAATATTTGTGGATTACTATTACCAGTATACAAATCATACTATTAACAGTAGCAGCATTATCATCCTCATCCACATTGCAATATGGAGCTGCACGCACCATTGCCAGGCGGCTCGACAAGCATTGCTTGGGGTCCTAGGCCAGGTGGGCCACTTGGCGACTGGGCGTCACCAAAAACGGTATACCCCAAAAGGGGGTAGCCTATTATGACATGCATGTGTATATGAGTATATATGCATATGATATAATATCCGAATAAATACTAGATATGCATACATATCTATATATACGCAAAGATACGAATTTATATATATATACACATAAATATATATATATATATATATTCACATATATATATATATATATTCACATATATGCATATTGTGACGTTTGTTCTTGGTGGTTTGAATTGTGCGAAACAAATGGGAGTGAGTCAATGTTGATCGTCATCATCATCTCATCTATAGGAATATAAAATGAAAATATTCGAAACAATCATCCGCATCTGCCCAACATCTGTACCCATCTGCTTTTGCCAGTTCCAAGGCACATCCAGGCGGTTGCAGCCCTCTGGCTTCTCGGTCAAGCATTCTGTATCCAGCTCGTGGTCTGGGGTGTGCCAGCACCTGTGATGATCACCGCTGGTACCGCTGGGATATTTCCACGGGGATCCCTTTTGAAACACAGGTACTGTACTCTGAGAGCCCTGGGAAAACCCAAGGGATTGCCATCTAAAACCACGCTGGGTATCAACACAGCTTTGTGACATGGACACCTAGGAATTCACCGTCGAAACTTGGAAACCCTCTGTTCCAATCCAACCAAAGCCTTGCAAATTCTGATTCCTGCATTGGAAATAAATCATTTTGGGTCCCCGATATCCCCCCAATCCTCATCATTACTGGGTTTTTGGTCGGTCGGAGCTCATTTCTGCCCACCAAAAATAACAGGTTGATTAAAACATCTACTAAAATCCCAGTTTGGGGGATGAAACCAATTATATTTTTTCTTGTTGGTTTGAGCCCTTTTTTCCCAATGTCTTTACACTTTCTGATCTCCCCCCAGCAGCGACGGGTTGAGTGGCGCACTGTGCAACCTTGTGATTGCCTTCGGCCAAAAAGTCGTCAAAGGCGTGGCCTTATGGTGCTGATGATGGGGCCACAAGCGAGAAGATCAGTGGAAGATTAGTTGGGATGCAAAGCATATATGTATATATATATATATATGTGGAAAACCCCCTCTATATAATATATGTATACATTTCGATTATACATATGTGTATACATGTATATATGTTATACATGCATGTATATATATATATACATATTAAACATGTATGTATGTATGTATGTATGTATGTCTGTCTGTCTGTCTGTCTGTCTGTCTGTCTGTCTGTCTGTCTGTCTGTATGTCTGTGTGTCTGTGTGTGTGTATGTATGTATGTATGTATGTATGTATGTATGTATGTATGTATGTATGTATGTACGTACGTATGTACGTATGTACGTACGTATGTACGTATGTACGTATGTACGTATGCACGGATGTACGTATGCACGGATGTACGTATGTACGTATGTACGTATGTACGTATGTACGTATGTATTTATGTAATGTAATGTTATGTAATATTATGTTCTGTTAAGTTATGTTATGTTATGTAATGTTATGTAATGTTATGTAATGTTATGCATGTATGTGTGTATGTGTGTATGTATGTATGTATGTATGTATGTATGTATGTACGTATGTATGCATGTGTGCGTGTATTATACATATGTATATTTTACATGTGTATATAATATATATATATATATTATTATACATGTATATAATATATATTATATTATACATGTATGTAATATATATTATATGTATATATATATACGTGTGTGTAATGTAATGTAATGTAATATGTAATATGTAATATGTAATATGTAATATGTAATATGTAATATGTAATATGTAATACGTAATACGTGATATGTAATGTAATGTAATGTAAAGGCAAGGTGTTATGTGTCATATGTCATGTGTCATGTGTCATGCGTCATAGAATTTGATGTATGTATGCTTGTTTGTGTCTGTCTGGCTAGCTGTCTGTGTGTCTAGCTGTCTGTCTATCCGCTTGTCCGTCCGTTCGTTCGTCTGTTTGTTTGTTTGTTTGTGCTTACGTTTGTGTGCGTATAAGCCGAGCAGCATTCACTACCCAAGAAACAAGTTGGCAAATGGATAGTCAGCAAAGTGACCCTCAAGATGTGACAACAAATGTGGACAAAGTTTCCCCATTAGCCCATTAGACTTCACGTCTCGCCTTCCCCTCGATGAAGAAAGTCGAATGCTTCACCTCAAGCAGTTGAAACCACCCAACTAAATCCAGGAAGTCACCAAAATGTCAATGCATCTAGAGATCGACATCACCCTTGGCTTCTGAGAAGTATCTATCCAAGCAAATTACATCCAAAAATATGAAGGGTGAAACAAAAAATACAACCTGCCCCTGATCAAACACATCCAAGATATGAACAAAAAGTAATGAGATCGCTTCATCCCTACCAAAACTGCAGTGGAACGCCAAAGGCCTGTTTGTTTTTTGTTGGAGCTGCCCAAACAGCAACTGCTGATCTTGGAGTGGAAATGTAGCAAAAAAACATGATCTTCTCCCTGAAAAATGGATGGTTTAAAATAGTTCAATACTACAAGTGGCCCATGTTGTTGGCGATTAACCACTACCCCCATTGCATTTTTCAGCCAACAACGGATCACTACCACACGAACCGATCCATCTCCGAAGAAAAATCAGGGCCAAGCCACACAAGGCGTCGCTGCCACCTAGGCGCTTTCCATCCCAACATATGGCCAAAAAGGATAGAAAAGTAAGATCTTGTTGAAAATGGTGATAAATCACTTGTCTATCTGTCTATCCTTTTTGGGGGTGAGCATATGATTCTTTAATGATTTTTAATGGCTAAACCCAAATTATGGCGAAATCATTGATGGGGAAGATGAGCGCTTTTTAATCTTCAATCATTGATGAGAGCTGCTAAGGCTGTGCCATATCACAAACCACATAAATGCTTGTGGCATCCACTGCTCTACATTTACCCCCGGAGGCTATACATCATGAACCTGGAAGCAATGATTAATAACTGGGAAGCAGGCAATCATACAGCCACAGAGTATTCACATATGTAATGATATTGATATAACTTGGCAGTCGTCATATCCTGATTTAAAAGGTTTGCAGGCCACCTACTAACCATGTACAAACTTCCAGGATACTGCAGCCAAGGCACTTGTGCATGGCTCACCTCCACACCACACGCACGCCTGAGTGAAAAACACAATGGCACCAGTGAGCCCTCCAAAAAAATGTCAATCGCGATGTGAAACATTAAGTTAAACATCATGTTTACAAATACCTCTCTGCTGCATATATAATATCAAATATATATATATACATATACATATACCTGTATATTAAATATGCGTATAAATATAAACAAAAAATAAATATTATAATATATATATATATATTGAATATATTATATAAATATACACCGCCCATTTTGGAGGGTTGATCAATATTGACACTTGTTTGATTGGTGGCACGTATAAACCTGTACCCAGTTCAGGAACTCACCTGTTCGGCGCCGTCAAGGCCGGGGCACATCTCCGCCCTTGTGAAGGCTGTCCTTCATCAACCCCAGCTCTGAATCCTGGACCGGGGCCCGACGGCGATTTCAGAAAAGGACTGGTCGTTATTCAGTGGTTCATCCATTTCTAGGACCCTCTGGTTATGTCAAAATAGCTATTGAACATGGCCCATAGAAATAGTTGATTTACCTATTAAAGATGGTGATTTTCCATAGTTATGTTCGGTACAGTGTTGAGAAAATGGTTGGTTATGTCTCCGACGCATGAAATCCCAATTCTTCATGGTTCAAGGACTAACTTGACGCCAGGCTCCCCAGGCTCGGCTCGGCACCTTGCTGCTCAAGCAGATCAGCTTGTCTTTGACGTCACTGCACTTCATCGTTTCTAAGCAGCTGGTATCGCCCCGGGAGGCTGGAAACCTCAGCGATGCTACGTTGGTGAACCCACGAGACCATCCCCACCCAAAATGGCTGGTACATATAATTAAACTCTACAATAACCATCCCAGAATGGTTTTACCACCGTAGCAGTCTACCAAGGAATGGATTTCAGCCATCAACCTCCATTGCCTTGGTATTCCTAGTTGTTTGGGATTGGAAACGAGCCATTAGCCACTTTGGTTGATTCCATAGCCCCATCCTTGGAATCCTGAGCTGTTAATATGCCCATTCTTCACGCCATTCGTACATCATCAACCGAGCCATGATTCATTGAAAGCACACCAATGCTTGGGAAGTGTTTTTCTGCCCAATAGGCAGATAAGACCCCATTCATCAACCCAAAAATCGCCCATGTCTGAAACCACCAACAAAGTTATACCCCAAGCGTTTCTCAACGTTGTTGGGTAAAGCCCCTGTTTTTTTTCCGGCCATGTGGAGCCAAGGGATAAATCCAGATGAGTTTGGTAATGTTGACGAATAACTTACAGGACAGATACTGCAATCTTTCAAATGGATCCAAATGATGGAATTGAATGTGTGCACGATGGCTATACACCAACAACAATCAATATCTTGAACCACCAGCCCGGTTCTACGGAAGTGTTCTGTTCTTTTACCCCAGCCAGCTGCAGGTTGGAACCAGAACAAAAATACCAAGTCTTGCTGAAAGATCCATATCCATTGGATATATTGGGCCACCCCATTTCACCATTGGTTACACCACTTTTGCCAAATCACCAGCTTAACTTGGATGACAATTTGGGGCTCGCATTTCAAGAAAACTCCGGATGTCGGTTGAATCCCATCATATCCCACCCATTCTATCCTACATCCCATAGAATAGTTGGTTGATACTAACATTATCCTCATTGATGTTGGTTACACCCATGTCTTAGTTGATATTCCATCATATCCTATTGAAAATGGCAGGTATTTGAAGTATTGACCATCCAAGGTTGACCTAAACACTCCAAAATCATGGTCATATGATTGGTTTACATCCCATTCTATCCACAGATACTGGCAATACTGGGCAATAAAGCGATGAGCCGAGCCGCCAATCATGGTGTGTGTGAGCCTTCTTCCCTGCCTTCGATGGCAGCACTGGAAGCCCAAGGGCCTTGCCATCGCTGCACCCGGCGCGGTCAAAGGGCACGTTGCGCGCGCGCTCGTAGACGTGGCCCTCACCGTTCACGGCGAAGTCGTAGGGCTCACCTTATGGCGGAGATGTGATTTCACCGAAAATGGCAAGTCAAACAGCGAGATGGGGAAACTAGATGAAATTGGGAGGTTTACCCAGGAAAAATCGGCAGGCAAAAACAAGCGGGATATGATCAACAAACATGGTGATTTGACCTGCCAAAATTTGGATTTAACCGGCACTCACGGGAAGGTCATTGACTATGATCATGATTCAAACTGCAACCGCTGCAAAAAAAAATCAAGGATTTTGGCACTCATTCATTTTTTCCTGATGAGTTAAATATCGCGGGCGTATGAGCAACAACAAAGGGGACACATATAATAAATACAGGAACAAAAAGAGAGGATTCAACCAATGAATTAGGCTTACATGTATAACTTATGTATAACCAAGAACCTGCGAAAACAGGCGCTTTCCTGACACAAATGGGGCCCGAAAAAATAAGGAAAAAGGACCAGATATTTGACGAGCAGTCATGCGGATTCAACAACCAGCGACTGTGGGGATCTTACTGGCAACAAAGGGCGTTAAATTTGAACAAACAATGGGCATACAATGGGCAATCAAGGTTTGCCGGAGGATGCGATGGATAAATGAATACGCACGTGGATTAAAGACGTTCGCGTGCACCTGAAAATTCAAATAATGTGGAATCATTTAGGGGCCCAGGGTTGCTCATCAGAAAGACTCGTCACATCATGGCTGAAATTCAAAAAACTGTTCTTTCATGTTCTTTCAATCAAAGTAATTGAATTCCATTCAAAAAATCGGTTTCCATACCGAAACATTCAAAAACTGTCCTTTTTATTCCTTTCCATTGCAGTTCATTGCAGTCGTACAACTATCCATACCAGTAGTACCGCACAAGGCGGTGGCGGAAGTTTCAAAAATAGGAAACCTATAGGAAGGGTTGGTTGCTGTGACTCACGGATGGCAGAGCGAACCCACTGATGGACCGAAAGGTGGTTGGAGTTGTGTTTTCTGGAGTGGTTGCAATGGTTGCAGTGGTCACCTCACCGCAACTGCTGGATGTAATGTGGTGTAGTGCTGTAGTTGCAGTTGTAGTTGCGGGCGTACTTTTAGTTGTAGTGTAGTGGAGTTGTAGTTGTAAAATGTAGTTGTAATGTAGTGTAATTAGCGTAGTGCAGTTGCAGTTGTAGTTGTGGTGTGGTGTAGTTAGTCTAGTGTATTGTAGTGTACTGTAGTGTTGTGTATTGTAGCGTGGTATAACGTAGTGTAGTCTAGCATATTGTAGTGCAAAGTAGCGTAGTTTTAGTTGTAGTGTAGTGTCGCGTCGTGCAATGTAGTGGTAGTTGCAGTTGTAGCGTAATGTAATGCAATTAGTGTAGTGTAGCGTTGTGGACTGTAGCATAGTTGTAGCGTTGTGGAATGTAGCATAGTTGTAGTTGCATTTGTATTTGTAGCTGTAATGTACTGCAGTTTAACTGGCGTATTGTAGCGTAATGTAGTGCAGCTGTAATTGTAGTTGTAGCTGTGGTGGTGGTGGTGGTGGTGGTGGTGGTGGTGGTGGTGGTGGTGCGAATGTCATACATCTCTTTCGATGCGTATTCATTGTTTGGTCGCTGGCGGACTCTCAGCCAATCACTAATCACTTGCTACAAGCTACAAGCAAATGTTGCTCCAACAAAACATCGAAACAAACTTGCTTTTAGCAAAGTCTTCAAGTCTATTTGACTTCACGTGATACTATATCAAATCATACCCACGTGCGTGAGCAAAGCGACAGCCATCTAAGTATGACACTTGGATCTAGAGATTTGCTTGTTTTCAGCGTGCCATCAATCCCTTTGAGCGCTCCTCCGAACACCTCAAAACTCTTTACAACCTCCTCCAAGACAGTAAGCTGAACTTGCTTGATGATGCTGTAAACTCATCCTGTGCCATTCAGCTTGCATTGCCAGCTTGGAATAATTTTCTCCGAGTTTTTCAAGTGATTTCAGAGATTTGTGAAAGTGTCTTTTGCTGCATAGCATGTGACACGTTTTGTGCGATTTGAGCAAGTCGTATGCAGTTTAGAGCTTGATTTCCAACTTTCCTGACAGCGCGTTCAGATTTCGAACGCGGAACAGTGATTTCAATCTTTGACAGAGCATTGAGATTTCGAACGCGGAATTCACACAGTGATTTCAATTTTGGAGAAACATTTAGACGTGCGAAAGAGGAATTTATAATCAGCTGCGGTACAGCTTATGAGTTTGAAGCTTCTCAGAAATCGTTTTGCGACGTTTCCACGGTTGAGACTTTTTTGAACATCCTGATGATCTCCTATTGTCTTGCGTTTCCTGGGTCCAAGCAATCTGTGAGATCGAAGTTTTTGAACCGCTTTTGATCACATTTCCAATTTGAGAGCCGTGCAAATTTGCAAGAGTTTTTTTTCCGAACTAGAGTAAGCAGACATGACGTCTGAACCGAATGTGAGTTTGGAAACAATTAGAGAATTTGACCGCAACCAAGCTTTCAGCTCTCCCTGTTGCCACAGCATTGTGAACATGCTCAGCCGCATCGTGCTTCCTTTGATCAATGAGATCAGCATTCCGCCAACAACATGTTGGCTCAAGATTAGGAGGCGTAAATTCTGCTAGCACAGTGAGACAAAAAGGGCGTGAGTTGTCAAGCAGAGTTGTCCACATTCTCAGTTGCAATTATCTACTCTTCTGGGGTGATAATTCTCGCATGGTAGCGAGAGCCAGTGTTCTCCTAGGAACCCCCTTGAATTGGTCTTCTCCTAGGTTTTCCCAGGGTTCAGGATTGACAGCAGACAACTGATCTTGACAAGAGATCTTGGAACCTACATCTAGCAGAATCTGATTTGCAGCCATGGAGCAGCCGGCCAGAGACAGGTCACCGAGAGGCCGTTCTCAAACGAGAAGAGGAGTTTCTTTGCCTGCAGCAACCGGATATGCCCCTGGAAGTGCAAACGCCTCCGTCCCCTTTGTCTTCGAGGAGCAACTCAATCGAGTCCGAATGAGCATGGACACTTTACAAGCGGAAGTTGGCAAGGCAGTTCGAGAACTTGCAGGTCACCAGAAAACTCTTGTTGACACCCTTGAGCGTCAGCAGCATGAGCTGAATGATATACGAGCCCAAAGAGTGCCAATCCCTCCAAGTGCTTCTCAGTCAGTGGCGGCTGCCAATGAGGATCGCTTCGGTGCCATGGGAGAAGCCAGTCCTTTTACTTCTGGACAAGACCCGCCCATCCAATTGCCAGTGAATGCTCAGCAAGGTGCAGGTGGACTTGCATCGGCGATGCCAAATACTGCAGTGAATGCGAGCTCAAGCACTGGACATGGGGTAAAAATTGTCTTACCCGATGGTACGGAGATCCCCTTGGGCGGCCAGTCAAATGCCGCGGGTCCTAAAGTTCCTGGATCCACACAGCTAGATGCGCTGCAGAGAAGCGACAAGTGGCTGCCTAGCATGCCCGTGGTCGAGTCGAATCGGTGGAAAAGCCGAATGGAGGAGATTTTGGGCATGGAACAGTGGCTCGATTCATTTTGCAATTGGCTATCTTTGATTTCAGAGCCATTTTGCACAGAAGTGAAGTTTTCTGCGACTTCTCCGCTGCCAATTGACAAGAAAGATTTGTCAACTGACCAGATTTCCCGAAGCTCCAGGCTCATGGCAATGCTTCGCCAGACCTTCCAGATGACTCCGCGAGCCAAAATCATTCTGCTTGCTTATGTAGAAGGCCCTGGAGATAAGAACGGGTATGAGGCTTTGCGAAGGATTGTCCAAGAATACATGATCAAGACTCGTGCTGAGTTGATGCATTTCCGCACATCTTTGCTTGGCCGAACTTTCAAAGCTCAAACAGTGACAGAGGTAATCAAGCAAATTGAGTTCGAGGAGAGCCGGTACAACAAGCTTGCTCGGATGTTGCCCTCGAATGTACCAGCTTCCGATTTGGCCCTGCTCCCTAGTGATTTGGTGATGGTCCTCATCAAATCCTTGCCTGTTGGTGTGAGGGAATATGTTGTCATGCATAGCCCAAGCCATGACTATGTGCAAATGAAAAATGCCGCTTTGTTGTACGAAGCCAACCAGAGAACTTGGACAGAGATTGCAGGCAGCAGTTCTGCCACCTACATGCATGGAATGTTTGACACGAATGACAAGCCGAAAGGAAAGGGCAAAAGCAAAGATGGTAAGAAAGGAAAGGGGAAAGCAAAAGATTCAAATAAAGGTGCAGCTAAGGGCAATGGTGAAAAGTCAGAGAAGGAAAGGAATGCCACGTGTTTCCGATGTGGTCGCACAGGCCATTTCTCTTCAAATTGTCATGCCAAGAAAGACAAGGATGGCAAGCCGCTTGAAGGGAAGCCCGCTCCAAAGAAAGATGGAAAGGGATCTGGTGAAGAGAAAGGTTCCAGCACAGGTCCTCAGAACAAAGGAAAAGGCAAAGGATCCAAAGGTAAGAAAGTCAATGAAATGCTTGAGCAGCCTGAAGGCGAATCGTGGCCTACCAATGGTCCAGCTGAAAGTCAGGGTTCCAATGGAGATGGCAGCCGTGCGTCAGCTGCGAAGCAAGCAGCAGCCCCTTTGAATCCCATTTTGCCTACTCAGTCTTGGTTTGAAGACACGATCGTGCAGTTTGAGCGAGAGCAGATCACAGAAGAGCAGTTCGATTTGGTCCACGGATCATTTCTCATGGAGGAACAATTTTCTTCTGATTTTGATTTTTCATGTTTTGGAAACCCATCAGATTTGTGGAGTAAAACCAAGCATGTTTGTACCATGTCAGCTGCAGTTTTCATGCCAATGATGCCAGATGTCCCATCAGATTTGCACTGGTGGCTCATTGATTCAGGAGCATCAGCCTCTGTTGTGAGTTCTCGCTTCCTGAAACACTATGAAGTAGTAAAGAATCAAGTGCTGGGACCAGCAACCGGCCCTGGGTTTTCATCGGCAAGCGGTGAGACAATTCATCCAACTTCCCTTGTTTGCTTGAAAGCATTTTTCCGCTTGACGTCCAGAGAAGATCCTTCAGACACCATGTTGAAAGAGTGCTTAGTTTCAGCTTTTGTAGCAGATGTTCCCAATAATGTTTTGTCAGTGGGCAGCTTGCTGCGAAAGGGTTGGTCATTAAGCAGTTCCGGAAGTGAATTGGAAGTGTGCTTTGGAGGATACAATTTGGACTTGGTGACATGGCAGAATGTGCCATGGATTTTTCACGAAGTTGAGACGGTCATGGACTTTTCCGATGATCGCGATTTGCAGAAGACATTTTGGAGCCGTCGGAAAATCCATGATGGTCCGGTGAACACGGTTGAGCATTTGAGCGAAACTGACAAATCCATGTTGATGACAACCAAGAGACAGCCAGATGTTTCATTGGAAGAACTTGACCCCGCTGCTGCATCCTCTTCTAGCCCAGCATATGTTAGTAGTAGGCCCGTTTCCGATAGTGAATCTCCATACCGTGAAAGCCTCAGTGTGGAGCCTAACTCTGTTCCGGATTC